CCCCAAAACCCCAAAACCCCAAAACCCCAAAACCCCATAAAGAATAAATTTGACCAATAGGTTAAAAAATATAAATTATTGTATATTTAAAATTCAAAATGCCGCGAGTGACAAAAGAGCTGCTTAGAAAACGTGCTGAGCATAACGAAGGATTGTTGACTACTTTGGAAGAAGTATTATTTTCTAAAATAACTCACCTACTTTCTAGGTATCATTGCATCAATAAGATCTAGAGAGAATTGAAAATTTTGAAGTTTATTGCAGACACTTAAAAATTCTATACTTGCAGAGCAATCTGATTCCTAAAATGGAAAACCTTAATAAATTAAAGGAATTGGAATATATAAACTTAGCAGTTAACAACATAAGTAAGATTGAAGGTGTTAGAGGTTGTGAGTCACTAGCGTAAGTAGAATTTTATATTATAATAGTCTAATTTAGAAAGCTTGATTTGACTTTGAACTTCATTGACATCGAAGATCTAGAAGAATCTATAGAAAATCTATCAGAATGTGAGTCTATCTAAGATTTGTACTTGACTGGAAACCCATGCGAAAGCTGGCCTGATTTTAAGGAATATGTGATGGCTAAAATTGTTCAATTAAAGAGACTAGATGGAGAAGAGATTAGCAAGAGTCAGAGACTAGCCGCTAGATAAAAATTAAAACAGATGGAAAGAGATTTAAAAATTGCAGCTGAGGAAAATATTATAAAGAAACAAATTGAAGCAGAGAAAGGAGATAATGAAAATGGATATACCAAAGAGAGCAGAGTGAAGATGTATGAGGAGATGCAAGAATAAAAGAAACAAGAAGAAGCTAAAAACAGTGAAAACTCTATGTTCAAAGAATTCAATGATTTTGAGTAAAACATGAAAAAGAAGGAGCCAGTTACTGTTTATAATTAATTTGGAGACATTAGATAATGCAACGAAGGCAAGTATGATTTTGCTTATAGCGAGACAACTGATAAGACTTGCGTTATTTTGGAATTCAAGGTTCCAAAGTTTCTTGATACATCACTAGTCAATGTTGATCTTAATCCGCAATATGTGAGAATTGAAATAAAAGGCAAGATTACTCAACTTAAGCATCCAGATGAAATTATTGTGGAGAAATCAAAGATTTAGAGATCCTAGATTACTGGTGTGCTTTAACTTACAATGCCTAAGCAAAACATTTCAGAGGTAGAAGCAAGAAACATGCGTATATAGCAAATTAAGGAGGATAAGGAAAAATAAGATAAGCTTAAAAAGCTTGAATAGGAGTAGAGGGAAGCGAAATTAGCTTAAAAGAAAGGTATGGACGAATACTCGAAGAAAGCAATGGAACAAAAGGACGATAAGAGTTATTTGATCAGAGAAAGTAAGAAAAAGAGTGAGGAGGAGAAAGATGGGGAGACAAAGAATATGTTTATACCAGATTTTGATGAAAGTGAGGTCCCCCCTCTCGAGTGATTAATTGGTTATAAATTAATATAAGCATTAATTTCTTAAGATTTGAAAATTTAAGTGATAGTATCATTTATAGAATAGTTATCTCTGTCTGAAGTTAGACCTTTGATTGCAAACTAGTTGTGGTTTCTTTTCTGCATATTCCATTTGTGTTGTCGGCTGGTAAAATTCTTTTGGGGCATGAACAACATTCTATACAGTTAATTAGATCTAAATTTATTACCATTCCCTGCATTGAATCCTAATTTATATGAATTGGAGTTTTCTTATAATTCTCTCTTGATGGATGTTTAAACTGAAGCATTTAGGTAGTAGTTCCATCAAACTTAGGAGTATTCTGAACTTAAAAGCTATAATGTTTAGATAGTTAGAAAATTCTTACCTTGAATAGGACTTAAACATCTATCTGAGATAATTTGGACTATATTGAGCCTCTAGTTGAATATCCTTGTTCTTAGGGTCTATGAAAGTTTCTTTGTAATGAGTAGTGTCATAGGTTTTAGTGTTGCTTTTTATCGCATTGTTCACTTAGAGTCCGTTTTAGTCTTAATTTTCTGGTAATTGTTTAGCTACATTTGCTGGCCAAAATGGAAAAGTGGCTTTGTTAGTAGTTGTATCCATAAAAGGTTAGATATCAGATAAGTGAACAAAACTGGTTTTTGATCTTCCATCCTTAGGGTCTAGGGGAAATCTAGTATTTACTTAATAATTTTAAGAACCAGGCTTTTGATACATGGCTTTAGACGTTGGTTATCCTACTTGACCTTTGGCTTCAACAGTTGAGGCAAACAAATTTCTGCTGATTTTATTAATGTTGAAGTCATCCTTTTCCTTCTTGTTTTAAGCTTACCCATCTCCCACACTTTTTCTAAAGTTATTCAAGTAGGCTGACTTTATCATTTTTGGATATTTGTACTTGATTGATTCATGCCTTTAATGATCGTTGCAGCATAGGCAAAATCTATCATGAACATCAAACCTCTTATCAAGATTTGTGTTTGTCATTGTATTCATAAATTTCTGCTTATCTGTTTCAATTAACCTACTACTGCCATCATCTTCCATATACTTTTTAGGCTTACTAATTGGGGGATTGACATGCATTGCTTTGAAAGTCTTTTCGTCAATATTTTATAGCATTTACCTCTAGTTATCATATGAAATCATATCACCTGCTCTAGTTGTATGATAGTTACCACTTATTTATGAAACTCTATCAGTGATGTTTGTATTAAAATCAATTGAACTGCTGTTTTTTCCAGCTCTCGTTTTGAATTTTTAATCGTCTCTCATATATCTCGACATCATATTTTGAGGAACTTTACCACTAGATTAATCATAATTCTCTGTTCTCTCTATGAAAGATGATTTAGGTTCATTAGTAGTATAGTTGTTATAGGACGGAGTTTATGGTTAAACTCTGACATCTATAGGTCCTCTACTTTGGATTCTTTAAGTTCAATCAAAGTTTTAGACAGAGATTTTTTAGTTGAAAGAGTTATAGTTGTTTTATCTAGTTGTCATTTCTTGCTGCAATGCTTTTATTAGTGATTGAGATTTATTAGATTTTTATGATTATGTAGTTATTCTGGCCCCTCCAATAACTGATTGCTTCGAGAGGGTTGTCTTTAGTTTGAGTTTATTTGTAGAAGTGGGCTCTGGAGATTATGATATGACTCTGCGGTTATTAGTGATTTCCTAGGTCTGATGAAATCGATGTTTGCTCATTTTATTTTGACTTATATATTTTAGTTGAAATATTAAGAATAGTTCTAATTTCTCAACGACCTAGATTATAGCTACAAGGGGTTTTGGGGTTTTGGGGTTTTGGGG